AGAGAGGCAGGATTTAATGAATTCAGAAATGTGCAGGGTTTCTGGGGAGGAAAGGTTTTCCTTTCAGCTCCTCCAGTGTTTGGATGTACTGGAAGTTTGGCATGGGGCTGTATCCTTCTGCAAAGGGCTGAGGCCTTGGATATTCATGACAGAGAAACAGGATCCACTCCATGTTTCCCAGGAAATCAATGCATCACTTCAGGCAACCCAAGAAAAATGGTACCAAGTTAACACACTGCAAGAGATATATTTTACCTATGTTTAAGATTGGTACAAATAATTTTCTGGAGGGTATTTTTTGATGTGATGCTAAATTATTCAGTTCGATTCATGACTAATCTCTGGCTTTCATTTTTTCCAGTCTTTATAAAAATGCCAAATAACTGCTCTAATTCATTAAACAGGAAACAGCTTGCACTGTATATGTAGACCTGGCACCACATCCCTTACATTTTTATAGAAATGCAAAATCTAAGTTACAGTGGTGTAAAATAGGAGAAAAATGATTTTTGCTGGATCTCTGTGGAAGATAGAAAGTGAAGAAGAACAAAGCAATTAAGATAACTTAAAAGTCCTCCTTGTAGTCCTGTCGTAATAATCTTGTTGCTAGCAGAATAAAATCACCCTCTGGATTGCTTTTTAAATTGTGTTTCATATTGGCTTTTGCTTCCTGTCATAATCTTGTCTTACTAGTGAAACAACTGTCCTCGATAAGTCTGCCAAGTGGAAAATTGATTTGGTCTTATGTTGACCCTTGTTTTGTTCTGGTTTAGCATTTAATTTTCATTTAGCAAAAGGTACATTGCTTTAGATAACAAAGGTTTCCTTCCTGAACTGACCAACTATTGCAGCTTTTTCCCCTAGTAGACACAAACTACCATCAGGGCTTACCTCAGCTGTTAGAGCAGCTGTGAATTTACCCTGCTGAGCTCATGGAAAAACTGGAGCTGGGAAACGAAGATGTCATGAAAATAGCTGAGGATGAGGTTTCGAGAGAAATATTCTTGTAATTTGTTGAAACTGGGAAAGTGAAATGTGCAATTCTGACAACAGTGACAGATTTATAGACTCAGTACACTAATTAAAAAGCAACTTACTCTAATATATTAATCTATAAAATGACAGCAGCAGAGAGAGCTGCTCTGTTTTGTGCACAAGTGTGGGAACATTGAAGTGCCCTTCTCCAGTAATGATGGCAGGATTTTTTTTTGTTACATACAAAATTCAAGGATAACATTAAGCAAGAAGCAATTGAAGGATTCTTTCCTTCTGGTGTGAAACATATGGAGAGAGGTTTTGCTATCAACTGTATGTTCATGTGCAAGACAGAAAGAAACAAAGTTTTCATTTGTTCTTTGCCTTCTCTTTTCATTGCTGTTTCTCCTTCACGTGGATGTGGTAGAATCTGGCTAAGAAGTTAGAACAGAAAAATCAAATTAAGCCTTAATAATATCTACAACTTCTTTGAACTGATTTTTTGCTCATATCAGTTTAACATCTTGGGGTTTTCATGCTTTGAGATTTGTCTATGCCATTTCTCTGTAAAAAGTTTCTTGCCCTGGATCATCACAGAATCAATCAGGTTGGAAAAGACCTCCAAGGTCATCAAGTCCAACCCTACCGTGGTCACTAGCCCATGGCACTAAGTGCCACATCCAGTCTCAGCTTGAAAACCTCCAGGGATGGGGAATCCATCACCTCCCTGGGCAGCACACTCCAATGCCTGAGCACTCTCTCCTTAAAAAATTTCTTCCTAAATTCCTGAATGTTACTGCTTCCTTGCATGCTCCACCAATAATCTCCACAGTTGGGGTCACTGAGGAAGGAAAAGAACATATTTCTGCTGTGCATTTAAAACACCTCTGACATTGTATCTGTATTCCTACTTCAGCAGTGGTTTAGGTGGATGTCTCGATGACAAGATGACAATTAAATGAAAATAACTGTATAATTTGGGTTTTGTACAAACATCACTCTAGTTTGCATTTGAATATAGAAAAGCAGAACTTAGTATTTTATTACACAAATAGAATTCAAGTCTGTATAAAGCAGAAAAATAATAATGCTATTTGGGAAGGATGTGAAGCACAAACCCCCTGAAATGAATAGTTATGTAGAATAATTGAATCAGTTACAGTTTTGTTTATATATTTTCTGTTCCTTTACTAAACTTCCTCCCCCTCCCCCAAACTGAATGTTTATGTCCTTGAATATTCTCCTTATAGGCATTTAAATATCTGCTGAAGTTCCTAGGGCTGCAATTTGTAATCTTCCATCTGTTTCAAATTCAGTGTAGACACAAGCAGGAAGGTTTTCAGCTCTGGGAAAGCATCAAATGAAGTCAGTGCAGTTACATGGAATTTCTTCTGATGAAAATCTCAGTAGTGATATTTGTCTCCACTTTTCCTGAACCCAAACTTGTTTTCACCATATAATAACAGGGGGCATTTTACCATTCTGATCACAAATTGATCTTAATTGCCTGTTTTGGACTAGGCTTCACATTCACAATTCTATAAAAAGGTTTTAGTAATACGATGTGACCTTTACAGATCTGTTTAATCAAAGCTCCTTTCAGAAACTCTTTTTCTAACAAAATGTTAGAAACAGAAGGAAAGGATCTATTTCCAGTGCTTTTGTTGTTAGAATCTTGCAATGGTGACACAGGTTGTCATGCACAAGACTCTTGTTCCTTGCCAGGGAAGATGTCAAGGACTGCTCTAGGTGAAAAACCTGTAGTTACTAGTTAGAAAGGTCACACTTAGAAATGTCCATGTTGATTGTTTTTTGCCCTCAAATACTTCACCTTCAGTTGTCTCATTGGAGAAGATCCTTGTGCTGCACCAAGGACCAGGGGATGGTCTGAAAGGATTCTGCCATAATTAGTAGCCATAAACCATATATAGAAACGGGGGAGAGTGAAATGATATGATAGTAAAATCTATTTAATTTACTGCCAATTATTTTACTTTTTAGCTATTTAGCATAATCACAAATAGGCACCAGGCTAAGATATGAGTTGGAGAAGAAAACTGAAGTGATTGATTTTGCATTACAGTATTTTTTTGATGTTCAATTAGGAAGCTACAGCAAAGTGGGATTCATGGCATTGTCTCGAGATATCTAATTTGCTTTGTAATAGGACATCAATAATGAAATCATTAAATGCTGCCTCTGAGCAGATTCTCTGTGCTCTGGGTTTCTTCAGCTCTCAATGTCCTCACATGAAGAGCTTGTTTGCTTGTTT